TGAACAGCATTTGTTAGTCTTGCAAATTTTAGGTCTACTAGTTGATTTAACAGGGAGAGACATGGATTTATTTGATAGCTTACAGGGATTTGAGACATTGAATGATGTCATTATAAGATCCGTTGTATATACTCCGTATTCGCTTGCAGGAGAAACAGATGTTGGAATAGAAAATCGCAGAAATGACGAACCTATGGCGGAGGACGTAATGGTGGCTGATATGGCATTATGGTTGGTGAGAGAATACACTATTTGTGGCCAAGGAAATTCTCAAAGTATCAAGGTTAGCACGTTGTAGATAACGCTGTTATTATTATTATGTATCTGAAACCATTAACACAAATTCGTTTGTTCTAGTGGCTGGTTAAATTGTTGGAAGAAATACTTACTAACATCAGTCCGCCCAACTCGTCGACTGAACCAAACAAGAACGCACTCGACTCTAACGAACTAGTATTATCCAATTTACCGACTATCTGTCATAGCCATCGCAAGCGCACAAAATTTCCTTGGTTTCAGACAAAAGTATGTAATGTTGTTGCGTCTGTATTCCGAAAAAGTGAACAGGTGAAGAAGCCGTTCGGCGAACTTGATGGCCTAGGAGTTCTCTTGGCTATTCTCAGCCATACATACGAATCTAAAGTCGCAACGGCTGCACTTTTAACTATTGGGGATTTCTTTGCTGGATCTGAGAAAACGGAGCAATTACTTGGTGATAATTTCGCATATGATGGGTTTCTTGAACTCATTAATGCCTCTGCGGCACCAATTGACAAGTATGTTTTTGTTGAATAACATTTTATGGTTAATGCCTTACAATATGCTAATTGTGTACTGTTTATCTGATTCGTTTTTAGACTATGTTGCGAAATTATCCTCGAAGTTGCGACTGTTGGGAAAGTTCTTCTGTCATTGTCATCATCCCCAATAGAGTCTGAGCCGTTTTCAATAAGCTGCAATATAATGCCGTTTATCTCTAATTTACTGACACCTAAACCATTGTTCCAGAGAGTATTACCTTTCACCCAGAAACGGCGAACTGTTTTCAAGAAAAGTGTAAATCAAGAAACCCATGATCAACACAAAAACGACAACAAGCGAATAAGTATTCATAGTCAAACTTTTTTCTCATACTGTCGTAGTTTATCAGATGCAAACGCTCGTAATGGCTCTTTTTCGTATCAAAGCACCCTTGCGACAGTAAATGAAGACAACGTGACATCAAATGTCGTATCAGAACCCCTCTTTAATTTATTACGTGGCAACAGGACCGATATACATCGCAACAGTATGGAGCTTCCCAGTCCAACGTTAGTGGATTCACCCCGGATGTCGGATAGTCTTGAAGAAGAAAAGTCAGTATCTACTCGCAAGCGTAGTAATTCAAGAAATTTGGGTGCATTTGGCATAAATTCCAACTCTATAGTACAAAATGGTACGCCCACCAGTACTAAGCTGCGTAGTTTAGCGGGAATTGAATTTAGAGATGCAGACGCTGCAATGATGGCGCTGAAGCTATTGGCATATGTGGCTGATAGTACTGATGAGACATTGCATAACGATTATTTTAAAATTTTGATGCTTCTCATGGAAGTTAATCCACGCAATAAGGAGATGCTATGTGCGAACAGGGGATTAAAATTTGTAACCGAAGTCTTGTTTGTTAAAGGCAAATCTCTCAACACTAAAGTTCCTTCATACGTCGATCTTATTCCTACATTGGGGGCATACGACATTACCACATCAGATATCACGCTTCTTTTCGATGCAGCATATGACCCGTTGAGCATGTTCGGTCACTTTGTTGGGAGAGGATTTCGAAGGAGGTCTATTACGGGAATACTACAGCCTGTTGTGCAAGCATTTTCGACTCCAGAAAAAGTTCATGAGATTAATTTTGATCCTTTCTTTATTAGAGAGGTCCAATCACAAATGATATATGCAATAGAACGAATATCCGAAAGAATGGATCCTCCTTGCTACTTCAATTTTAATGGAGTAAATAGTAGCTTCCGGACATTTCCTCTGGAGAAATTTCCAACTAATAAGCGTGGATATACTGTTAGCCTTTGGGTTAAGGTTACGTCATTCTTTGAGGATGAGACGGGATTGCTTTCTTACGAGGATCAAGCGGGAAACAATACAACATTCGAACTTTATTTCAAAAGATTGGATCAATCGAATCGGTACTGTCTTTGCGTAAGAACTCAGCATTGGCCGTTGCCAGCAGAAGACTTTGTATTTGATGGATTCGACTTTGGTGAGGCTGGGATCTGGCATCATGTCGTTTTCGTTCATTGTAAGCAGAGCACATCGTTGATTGTCGATGGATCGTCAATACAATCGTATAATATGTATAATTATCCAAGGGTTAATAGCAAAGATAAGGCATTTGTTGCTGTATTAGGAAGATGTAGTAAGTCTTGGCCATCTGCTTGTCACTCATATCTCAATGGGCGAAACAATTCTGACCCCAGTGAGAGATCATGTGGATATTTTTGTGGACAGATAGGTTCAGTTTATTTCTTCCGGGGATTATGGGATCTTTCTATGGCCGAGAAAGTATTCAATTTGGGACCAGCATATGGTAGGAGTTATCGGACACTTGGTATTGAGAATAGGGAGGTGCTAGCTATTCATCCATATGCATATTTGAGTGATGAACAGAACAAGAGATTAGAGTTAGATAAATCACGCAAGGGATCTGAATTGACAGAATTCTCCAAGGTAGTTGGTAAATTGGAAGGCGGATGCACGCTGCATGCGACAAGATCAATTAGAAGTATTATTGAACAGGCAGGAGGAGTCGAATTATGTTTTAGATTTCTGGAGATGGATCAAGAATATCAATTAATTGGGTTACGGACAATATCTAATTTATTGTATAAGAGCCCTCAAAATGTTACAAAATTCACTGAACAGAACGGATTCGGCATATTGAGAGATCTACTTGGGAAAGATACAAAGAATTTGAATGAAGACCATTTTGATGTTTTATTAGACATAACATGTGATGGCATCATGCGTGATAACCAGATGGTTATTGCGAACACTGCTTGTCTTCGAGTGATTATTGAACTGTTGTTTGTTAGCCAGGAGCATGTTCAGTTAGCAGTTGTGCGCAAATTGGTAGATATGATAGTTGAACTACCCTGCAATCTGAAAACGTGGAAGAATAGCTTTGAATTGGAGATTTTGTTTCAATTATTCGACGCTCTTCCACCAACGCTTCGGCCTTTTATAATGAAAGCATTAGAGACAATGTTGGCTGAATCGACAGTGGACGAATTAACGAAATTGTTTGATTATATTTCGCCCGACAGCGCAAATGACATGGACGTCAAATACGACATGTTGGATATGATATACAAAAGCATGACAACTGACGCCTCATTATTGGAAAAAATTCGCGGATTGAAAGGGCTCTCACATTTAACGTTATTACTCAACGTTCCCAATGAGAAGTTTCGAATAGTAAGCTTGAAGATGATGGGCATCTTAATGAGTTCTAATGTTAAACACAGCCGAACTTTTCTCACAAAAACAAATGCATTCGATCAGTTGAAATCCCACCTGACCAATTATCCATTGTCTTTAGAATTAACTCGTGTGGTGATGGGAATTGGAACTAACGCTTATCAATGTAACCCAACAACGAGAAGTAACTCTATCATTAGCGACAAGCCCATATTCAGGAGAAGTAATATTCGGACATCAGAGGATAATTTATCGCATAAAGCAGCTGACGAGTTGGTATATCCAGAGGCAATTCGATTACTGTTTGACTTATTGACGGTTAGCCGAGATACAGAGTTGGTCTTCCAAGTCTTGGCTGATGTCAAACGACTATTGACTCCAGACAATATGCGAATACTTTGGGAATACAACTGGATCGATTGGATCATAACGTGTATTAGAGAACGAGCGTTGCTAGAACCAGCTCACTTTAATCGTTTTCTTGCTATTACTGATACGATAGTCCAGAAAATGGTTATATATGATATCTCCCGGAAGAATTCAATAACTACAAAATGCAAGGGGGCTCTCACTTCTTCCGCTGCGATTTCGTCTTCCATCCTTCCGTCCACGCTTTCATCCACACTGTCATCCACGCTTTCATCTTCGCCTTCGTCTTGTATATCGCCGGCTAGTGTTCCAAATGATACCGACAACGAAGGGGAGAAATTTGAATTGCGAATAATAGATATCATTCTTTCTTATTACGACAAGAATCCGAATGTGAATATAGACACTTCTAACTACATTTTTAGAAATCTATTAATATTGTATAGACATTTAGATGATCACATTTGCAAAAGTATTTATTATTCTTCGTCTCCATTTGACACCACTTCTTCAGCTTTCACGCTTCCCTCACCATCGACTACGAAAACATCCATAATTACTACCACTTCAGTACGAAGACATTTTGTATCCACTATTAACACCTTTGCATGTCACAATGATGCTGCTGTAAGGGCAGCAATGAAATCAACTGGTTTATTTAAGATAAGGGATATTTTAATCAAAGATTACAAGGATTTAGCATCAAATGAACTTGTGTAATATATTACTTATTAATTTAATAAAATGATTTAATTTATTAATTATAGAGTCTCAAAATGTAAACCACACGAGAGAGATACTTGATAATATAATCAATATTAATATATATAACGTAGATAAACCAAGCCAATTCTCTTTAGGGAAGCATTAAAGACAGATATTTATCGGTATATTGTATCTCACCATCAGAGGAAGAGAATAGGTTTTTGATAGTCTTTCATAACCTATTAAATTTGATAGATGAACAAGGAGACTAATTAACTCTTGTCGAAGTGTTCAACGACAATAGAAATTAAAAAAGCCACACAACCAAGGAGGACATATCTACACTTTGGTATACTAGTATGCGAAATAAATCAAGTACTTAAAAGATTATAAAGCAAGCATCGAAGCCAGAACAACAGAAAGAAATATTAAACTGTGAAGCGCTCCTTTCATGGTGCCGTTATCTCTGGCTTTGTTGCAACATGCTCCTCATTTTTATTAATCAGTCACTAATACTACAAGTAACACTTATCTTACCGATAAAAATATATAAAAATGCTTGCTGCTTACGCGATTTCCGCCGACAGTCTTGGTTTTTAAATTATAACTATTTCTTTGAGGAAGGCCAGAGTTTGTCAGCAGACCTCCTCCAGCTAATACACCAACTACAATATAAATAGGAAAACAAAAACAGTGAAATGTAACATGCGTGCGATCCCAAAATACATAAATCTAAGTCCAAACTTTGCATCATTTTGGTGGTTCTGTCTGATTGACAGCGGGTTGTTGGTAATTATAAACTTGTGATGGTGGTTGCTGCTGTTGTTGTGGCTGTTGCGGCTGCTGTTGCGGCTGCTGTTGCTGCTGTTGTTGTTGTTGCTGCTGCTGTTGCTGCTGGTAATATTGCTGGTAATAATTCTGCTGTGGATTGTATTGGTCCTGGTTATATTGCGTGTAATAACCTGAATACGTCGGTTGTGGAGATGTTTGATCCCCAGTACCCTGTGTGTTGGACGCTGCGTGCATGGTTGTCGCGGCCGGTGTATATGATGTGGTCGATGTTGAATAAGTGCCTTGAGCCGTAGAGACTGGCTGGTTAGCTATGCTTGGATACTGAGATGCTGCTGACTGGGTTGCGCCGTAATTATACTGATATTGTTGATACCCATATTGTGGCGCTGCGGATACTGTCGATGTATCTTGTTTGACTTCAGTTCCTTGGGGTTTATTAGAATCTGCGGGTGTTGGTTGAGTTGGATAATAACCTGTCTTAGCGAACGGAGCTGTTTAAACGTCAGCATAAAGTTCGTCTAGAACATTAGCACGTTGTCAATACAAATACTATCAATTTACCTTGAGACTGAGTCAGTGGCTGACTTATTATCTGACTAACTGGTTGCCCTGTAGTTGCAGGTTGTCCCATTGGCTGTGCAGCAGTCTGTCCAACTGCTGGTTGTTGTTGTTGACCATATTGTGATTGTTGTGGATATGAGCTATACTGTGGTTGTGTTTGATATTGACCATAAGTAGTTGGAGTCTGACCGTAACCACTATATTGACTATAATTAGTTGACGGTTGCACTCCAGAGGACGCGTATGTTGTAGCTGTATAACCACTAGATGCCGATGGGTTGTAATCACCACTACTTGTATTGGTTTGTCCGTAAGTATTCTGCTGCGACGTCTGCATCGGATAACTATTTTGTGTATAACTAGTTTGTTGATATCCAGTACCCTGCTGATAGTTGCTGCTCTGTGGATAATTGCTTTGTTGTTGGTATCCACTCGTCTGTGGATAATTGCTATTCTGCTGATACCCACTCGTTTGCTGATAGCTGCCGCTCTGCTGCGAATAGCTTCCTGATTGTTGATATCCGCTCTGTTGATACCCACTCCCGCTCTGTTGGTACCCGCCACTAAAAATTCATAATAATGCTTACACACTATCCAATAACATTGAAATCGTACTGATAACAAAGAATATTCATTTCCATAATCCATTATCTTTCTCTCTTACCTTCTTCCATGATCCTGATGTCGGGGCTTGTCACGCTGTAAACGAAACGAATGCATGCGACAAACAACGGACAACAAAAGAAGAGAAATGCGATACATACATCAACAACAAACAAATCATTATCATTACGGGCAAAGCATTTTTACGACAAAAACGATAGCAAGATCACTCAACAAGCGATGTAGATGACATATACATTTCCAGACGCAGCTTTTTCAAGAATTAAAGATTTCGCAATAGCAACAGTCTCAGATGTCCCTACAACGATTTACGTCAACATAAACGCAAAGCAGCAATCGAACGACTGACGTTGAATCGATAGGTCGGGCAATTGTAGTATGTGCAAGTAGAGTAGTTAATTATCCCTATACTTACCGATTATGTGTACATTTCTATCTGCTGTCGGTGGTCCATGGTCAGGTTCTATTTGAATCTTAGCTCCTGATTGCTGTTGAAGCGTCTTAACTGTCTCACCACCTGTAAATAAAGAAAACGTGAGAAGAGGTACAAGAACAATAGTAACAATAATAGTGCAGTCACACGTACCCTTCCCAATTATCAATCCGACCGTATCGTTCGGCACTTGAATAGTTATCTTCTCCTGAGAAGACTTTCCTCCAGTTCCTCCGGTTCCTCCAGTTCCTCCATATTGACTTCCCGAACCATAGTGACTCTCGTTGTAGCTGCTTCCGTGACTCTCACCGCCATACATACTACCGGCATAACTGGAGCTGGTATATTCTTTAGGGTTTGGCTTTACGCCCAAAGGAATTCGTATAGTAAGTTATAACAAATTGTCTCATCTATCATATTAATCAACGTTTGCACAGGCATATTATAAAAGCATACCCTATCCAGGGCAGCGTCCCCTCCTTTAATAATTTCATCAATCAACGCTTTCGCTCTCTGTATTGCAGCATCATCACCGATCAAAGTCACCGGACGATCTGTAGATTGAGGATTAGCAGCATTATCTGGAGTAACATTTATTCTTGCTCCACTTCTATCTTGCAAATCACGTATTGTTTCACCACCACGGCCTATTACAACTCCAACTTTACTGCTTGGAATATGAATAGTAACAGTAGCACGACTAGGCCCATAATCACCACGACGATTTGCTTGGCTGGCGAGAGCATCGTCTACTAGAGATCGAATCATTGAGCGTGCACTTCTAACTTCTTCCGGCGGACCAGATATAGATACACGTCTATCAATACAGTCAGGAGGTTGATCTGAAAATATTAGAAGGTTTTTGACAAAAGTCAATAAGAGTGTGTGCGAACGACTGTAACGAGTTTACAAGAGTATATTGTTGGTTATACGACTACCTTGTGAAAATTGAACTCTCGCTCCTGTAGTCTTTTCTATCCTTTTTAGATTTTCCCCCCCTCGTCCAATGACCAATCCTACAACCACGTTAGGCACGGAGAATTCCTCGAGAATGTGCCCTGAACGTAATGAGTCTCCAGGACCATAATGAGATCCATGTTGTCTATGACGTTCCTCACTTCCAAGACCGTATCGGTGCCTACTTCCGCTTTCATCTGATGCAGAAAGGTATAGTTAAGGTAATGCAAGTACTATCAAAAGATTGTTGAGTTGCGAAAAAGGCTATTTTTTGGAGGAAGACTGCATAATAGAGGATACAATCAGAACGAGATGATCCGCTATCATAAGTAGCTCTCTTAGACTCGCGACCATAATCATCATATCGATTTCTCTCACGCCGGCTGTGTGAGTCTCTCCTATAATCTTCGCGATGATCATCTCGTTTATCTCTTGAACTATGGGACACATAGCTATCGTCATGAGGACGCTTAACCCCCTGATTACTACCATGACTATGGCTATTGCTTGGAGAAGGAGTCTCAGCAGCACTTGCTACAGTAGTCGTTGTCGACGGTGTAGTCTGTTGTTGTTGCTGTAATTTGGCAGCTATTGCTCTAACCCTAGCCATCGCATCGTTAAACTGTGCCTCGTCAGAATTTGATGTCAGTGAAGGCGGGGGCGGAACCGCTTTATAATCAATCGGCTGTTGGGCGTCTGATTGAACTTGCTGTTCGGACATTGCTGTTGGTTGCTGTGCTGGCATAGTAACCGTTGTATGCATTGGGGCTTGATCGCCGCCACCTTGAGGAAGAACTGGTGTTTGAGGGTTTGGTGCCAAAGATTGTGGTTGTACTAAATCGGGTTGAGTTTGGGATAAGGCTGTTTGAGCTTGAGCTGTAGTTGGATCTGTGGCTTGAGATAAGAGTTCAATTGAGTTTTCAGTCCCTGTGGCAGGTTCGGAGCTGGCCCCAGCAATATCATTTACCACCGGTTCTTCTGCATTCGTAAAGGATTCTGCGGCAGACGTTATTACAGTTTGGATCTCTGTTACGGTCGAAGTAGTAATGGCCTCTGATTGCTCGATTACATTCTGATCAGTATCATCACTTGACTGTTCGTCAACAGCTGTTGTAGGGGTGTCAGCGCTGTGCTCAGTTGCGGGGGATTGTTGGGCAGCTATCTGTTCAATTGCTTCTTCTTGAGCGGTGACCTCTTCTTTTTCAGGTGAAGGTACATCGAGACCGGCGTCTGCGGGCTCGACGGAGGTGGTCGTTTCTATTGCCTCAGGCGTTGTGGTTGCCTGATCTTGACCCTCGTTTTCGTCCATGCTTGCAATGAACTTGATAGGAAGAACTAGGTTATAGCATTTTTGTACAATCACATGACGTTAGCAATCAATGTGACAGATTAAAGCGAAAAATCGGATTAAAATGAAATTTTCTCGATTTTAATATTAAATATGAAAATTTAAAATTTTTGGGGGGCAATTTTCCAGGCTTTTTTTGGGATTTGGGATGGGATTTAGGGTAAATTTTGTTAATAGAAGAGTATATGTGGGTTTCAGAGGCATTAAAAGAGGATCCAAGAAGACCCCAATTTAGTTTTAATCCGATTTCGTTTTAATCTGCCCAATCAATGGGCATTTCTTAATAATAAATGAATGGCTGCGCGTCCTAAACGCACTTGGCGTGCTCTGCCTCTTGCGACACCAATAAGGACGAGCCGTCCGTCACTCAGTAAAACATAATACGGGTGGTTTAGTATAATTGATCATAGTAAATTTTAAAACTTTTCTCTTCAACGTGTCAAATAATTAGATTCAAGTGGTCCACACCATAGATTTTATATCCGAAAATTAGCGAAGCAATTGTATTTAGTCAATCATGAACAATTCTGAGGCTATACTACTTATGACCGAGTTATGTTTTCCGACCCGATCTGACGCTCAAACACAGAATTTCCTCCCTGAGACGCTCAAAGTCAGTCAAATTCTTTCGCTTCTGTGCAAAAACTATCAGAATAAGACTAACGGCAATTCTTATTCGAAGAGTATATCAAAAGGCGATTAAATTCGATGCATCTGTTAATGAATTTCTTATTTACAATAATAAATTTGTTCGACGTTTCAACAATGGCGATTTAGCTAGCCTTTATAAATAACCCGGGAACCCTGTCACAAAGCGTACTTGTGTCTCGTCGGCGCGATTTTATTCACATTTTGTGTCAGGGGAAATGCAGTCTTGCTGTTGTCGAGTACAGATAATAAAGAATGTAAATTTATTGTCGTTATGGCAAAAACTGGTTTAGATCAATCCAAAAGCTTATCTTGGACATTATGCTAGTACATGAAAACGGTTAAGATTCATTCCACTTTATCAAAAAATCTTCACCATTAAGAACATCGACAACTACATTTACTGTAATAAATATGTTGTTGAAAATCGAGTAATCAACAAATAAAAAGAAAAAACTCAAAAATGTGAGTTTTTAATTTTGCTCACTGTATGCCAACAGTTATTAGTTAACAAACTGTATCCTCCATCTCGTCTAGCAGTTTTCATGAGGTCACCAACAGTTTGATTGCCCCTTGGAACAAGAACCTCCCCGACAGGGTCCCAATTATTAGACATGTGTCTTGCCTCAGTAACGACCTGAGCTCCACTTGCATCAGTGCTATGGATTAGATACTCCGCCCCGGAATTAATGGTGATGCGGATACCTTCATGATAAACGAAAGGTAAAGAGCCTCCGGTGAGCAACTTTCTCTTAAAGACTTGCGCACTCTCCACAGGAGTATTGTACAAATTGGTAAGTCTTCTCTTGTCATAATCATCTGTTAATTATAAAGCAAAAAAAGAGTAAGAATAGTAAGTAAGAACGTCTGCCATTACAAAAGACACGTTTGCGGAAATTTGATATACGAGAGAACAAAATACACAAACCCGGAGTTGGTCTAACAGGTCCTCCGCTTCCACTGCTGCCACTGCTACTGATAATCCTGGAGTCGGTGTTACCCATTATTATTACTATCGAAAGTATGGATGAAACCAGAGCAGGAGGATGTGATGAATATGAAGATTAACAAGAGAGTCGTTTTTAAAAAGCAAAGAGAAAGAATAAGCTGAGGCTCAAATTTTCTGCGTAAAAAGAACGAACGTTTAAAAAGGGCACAAAGCCAAACTTGTGTAACGTCAACTACTGTTTTTCTCACAGGGATTAGCATAATTATCATGCACATCAATACCGAAAATGATGAAATGCAAATTTCAATGTAAGAATAATTAGTATTATTATTATAGCATATTCTCCCAAACTTAGCTCTAAACGTGGTCTTGCTTAAAATTAGGCGTAGCTAAATTCTGAAGATGGCTCTTTATACTTCTATTGCTAAGGTATAAACTCTCTCTCAAAATGTTATGCTAAACTATTTGATCCTCCAGCGTTTGCTTAATCTACAGCTATAGATGTTGCTTCAACTTGCGTACACACAAGAATAGAATTATAACTGGACCTTTTAAGAACTTGCTCCTGGTAAGTTAGTTTGTTTTAATAATGATAAAATATTACTGATATCCGAATGCCTGGCATGCAATCAAAATTTTGTTTATAACACCCTCCAAAAATTTCCGTGCATAAAGCAGGACTAACGTCTCAAAATGGAGCTTTTTCTCGAAAGCAATGCTGCTGCGTGAACGCTCACACGGACCTTGCAACAATAGCTAAACTGGTTCACTGTAGTAAGCTCACAGGTTGGTGGGTTAATCGAAAATGCTTGGCATTCCAAATGCTTGGTGCATACTATATTTAGAATCGCACGAAATATTCCTGTTATTTATCAAAAGATACCAAATTAAAATATGCAGTAGTAATATAATTACCACCAATTTTTCGGTAGGCTTTTTCACACCTCTCATTCGCGTTCTAACGCCTTAAAAGCATCGATTTCGATGCCCATTCCCCAATATACCGAATCTGTTTTCGCTACTGTAGGTTTACTGCTAGTGGTACCACAAAAAATGCGTTCACCTGGTGGCGCCACGCTAATACACGACCCTTCGTCCACCGACTGAAGGTTAAACATCCGGTCTGAAATCTGTAAGGCATATTAATATGCAATAGTATTAGCTGGAACATTAGCACTGGATTCGGCCTTAATAATAATGTCTTGAACTGTAGTCTTGAGACGCTCGTTTTGTTTTCTCAAATTAATAACGAAGAGCGGGGGTAGGAGAAACAATTCGTCCAAAGAACATTATTATTCACTAATTCCATAGTACGACTTTTTAAAATCTCGAATATTTTATAGGCGCAAGTCAATAGTGGGATAACTTTAACATAGCATAAATATTTCTGAGATTTACGTTATTAAAAAGGGCATAATTAAAGCAATTATTTCCACTTGGCTTCTGCATTTGTTTGAAAGCCAACGACAATCCATCTATTTTTTTCAGCGCCGTTAGTGACGTAATTTGAGGCACTGTTGAAAGAGCTACAATGCAATGCCCGAAACCCCACAGGTATCGTTTTTTATCTTCTACTGTTTTATATAAGGCAATTTTATTATTTACAGCCTTATTCGCTAAAGGGCCGCAGACATTCCGGACGTCTGTAGCGCCATCTAGGGATGATTTACTAAGTAGTACCCATTCGATAATAATAAGTAATGCTCCCTCCATGTGATTTCAAGTTTCAAGTCTACAAAGTTTATTCACAAACTTATGGTGATAACTAATAAAAATGCTGATGCGACGCGGCGATGAACACGGCTTACTCAAGATAGTTTAACCAATGATATGCACCAGTGATAATAAGAAACCTCTAGGTTTAACCCTTCAAAGACGAAAGCCTCGAATGAGACCTACGGTTTCTGCCGTTGCCAAACAACAGGTGACAATTGTTTTCTGCTCCCTCTCGAGACCATTCAAAAAACATTTTATCCTCTAATTCTATCAGACGAGACAATTATTATAATAGCTTAGATGTGGAGGTGCCTTTGACGACGCGATTTTCACCTTGAACACTTTGAATGACAGGGTAGAATCTATAATTTGGTGTGCTCGCTCATCCTGCCGCTAAAAAAAAATCAAAAAACTGAATTAGAACAAATCGAACACATTAGAAAGAATGCAAATTCCAGACGGATTCACCAATACAATTACTTCCTACGCTGTCAACAACTATGACAATAACAATATTGGGATATTTTAGTCGTGCCGACGTAAGAAATAATTATGGTTGACAACGTCAAAGTTTCAATTTGGCCCATCTTTACAATTATGCGTTCTCTCTCAAACGGCGTAAATAACATCAATTCCATTTCCTTAGTTTCATATCAGCGCTCTCTGCCATTGACATGAGCCGTCGTTCTAGTTCTTATCAAGACATATCACGAGCAGTATAAACATTCGTACAAAGATTATGGAAGTAGATGTATAATTCCTGTTTGCAAGTTCCTGGTTGCAAGTTCCTGGTTGTGGGGGTATCGCTGAGAGAGTCGAATGGGGTCTATTCCTAACGCTAATGTTCTAAAGTTTTTCGCAGTGAAATATCTAACCATAGTGACGGAAGCATTTGTTCACGTCTTGTGTCTATTAAAAATGGGCTTTCGACTCAATAGCATAACAAATTAAATAAACGAAACCACAGCTACCATTACATTCCTTGGCTTGTTTCTGCAAAGTTCCCTCGAGTTTCCGTCACACATTGTGTATCAAAGAGTTTATCTTCTGCATACTCGTCATCAATATTCGGTGATTTCTCGACAGAGTTTGCATTCGCTAGCTTCTCTTCTTCCTCGTAGACATCCTTCTCAAGAAATCCTGACTCTTCTCGCTCTAATTGGTTTACTACATCCATCATGTCATTTACCGTTATTACGCTCTTTTCTTCAGGTGGAAGTGAATTATCTTCGAAACTGACATGTTTCAACAACTCGTCTGCACCCATGTCAACTTTAGCCTCCTGCCATTTTTGTTCGGCCATTATTTTAACTTTATCGAATTCACTGCTTTGATCTTCACTCAACATACTCTTCCCTTGCTGTAAACAGCATTCTAGGAGTATCCTTCTTAACCCATCAACACGATGTACTTTGGTTATCATACCATCTTCCATTTCAACCGCCTCATCACCTACGGCCGCTTCTAGTAGTTCCATAAGCTTCCGTAGTCCACTAGAAAATCCACCAGTTCTCGTGATTCGGTGTACACCCAGTATTATCACTTCCGACGTTTTCAGGCTGGGACGCATGTGATAATATTTTGTCATTATGTCATATATGACCAGTGTAGCGGGAAAGTCTTGCTGACGAATAAACGATCGTAGAATAACATTGCATGCAGGCAATCTCGGCCGAATGCTCGACGTATGAAGAAGAGAAGAGATTAATTGGCGTGGAACGAGACGATCGAATACGACAGGTTCTAATGATGATGTAGCTTCAGATATAAGTATGTCCATCTGCGGCAAACGAGAGCGTATTAATTGATATAAAATAGTTTCATTCTCGTAAAGCTTTGCTTCTCGAGCCAATATTAGTGTTCGTCTATCATACTGCACTAATCGACGTGCTCTGTTGTCTATTGCCGTGAATAATGAAGCAATGGTAAATATATCTACATTTAGATCAGGCATCAGTTCTAGTGTCTTGTAAATAATGGCTGCTGCGTTGTAATTTTTCATCCTCACATTCAATGCAAGTAGCATATTGTACGTATAACTATCTGGGTTGACACGCTCCGTTTGCAGCCTTCGTAATATTTCCGCGACAACACGAACATTAAATAAATCAACGGCAGTGCTTAGCATTTCGTTGTACAACTTGATATCAGGGCGCAAACCACTGAAATACATTTTATCAAGCCATACCAGTGCCTTTGTGATATCTTTAGAATGACTGAATGCTTGTATCATAGTCACGTACAACATGCGTTTATCCAAATCACTATGCAGCATCGACTCGAACATACTCTCGGCTACTTCTGTTTGGAAAAACTTTACCAGTTGATGTAGTATCGAAAAATAAATCCTTGGATCTGAACGACGCTTTCTTGGTTCGTTGAGTTTTTCAAGCTCCTCCTTAAAGACACTTGTGGCCAGAGGAAGATTTCTGAAAAGTATGCTCATTGTTGCTATGGTAGGTTCCTTTCCCTTGGCAACCATATCCAAGTAAACTATGGCAGCCATACGAACATCATTGACGGAAGCAAAGCTTTGTATTATAGAATCATATCCTTTCGTGTCCATGTCGATTTCCTTAGACGTCATCAATTGATATATAGTTCTTGCTCTTTCAGAATCCCTTGCTTTATTACATCCAGTTATCAACAAAGTGTAGGTAAATTCATTCGCCGCGTCGCCTATCTTTTTTAAGACTTTTTCCGCCGAATTCAAGTCCTCTAATTGCAGATAAGCCTCGATCAAATGATTGTAAGCTACAATATCAAACGACGTGTTGGGTCTCATTTTGTGAAAGACGAGAATAGCATTTCTCGGATATTTCAAATCCAGCCACGCCTTCATGTACCAATTATAGTCTCTGTCGGTAAATCTGATGTTTGCTTCTCTCATATCATCGAATAATGTTACCAGATTATATGCAGTTGATTTAGAATTTAGAAAGTACTTTAAACGATTTCGAAGAACCACAAAATATGCACGCGGTATCCTTGAAAGGTTACGTGGATCTTTTCTTATTGTTTCATATATCTTCCATGCTCTTTGATAAAAGGGTTCGCGCAGGGCATCGGTGAATTCATCGAGACGGTATGCAAATGTAATCAACTCTTCCTCGTTCATGTCACTATATCTGTCTGCCACTCCAACATCCTCGCACCAACTTTTAAAGGCTTTTAACATGTTCTCTCTGCTTGCCATTTCCATTGTCGGTTCCACAATGAAGCTAACCTCCATATTATTGGTTGGCATTTGTGAAAAGCTTCCAACTGGTCTGGCTGATGGTCTGCCGAGAGTTCTATAATATTTACATTGAAGACGATGTGGTGTCGGTATTATCTTGGATAAAATTTCGGTTTTGGGTATAGATCTCTTGCATGATTTGAGCGCGTAAAATGGCCAACGAAACATCTTCATTTGGTACTGTTATGGACTGTGTACCGATAAAAATTGATGTTACACGAACACGGGAAACGCAGCAATTACAGATTTTAAATTCTAAAGTATTGAGTCCAATGCAACATTCTTTCTTCACACAACAGCTACGAAAGAATGCTCTAGTCTTTTGTATTTTCCATAGCCTATTGATATAACGTCCATGTCAGATCCGAACACAGCCTCTTTCTAGGTTATTTAAGTCTAATTTCTTAGAGTGTCAGCTCACACAATTAATAATTTACAGTGTGTTACAAAAAAAAGTGGGGTTCTTTAAACGATCATTGCGTCATGAAATGCCACATATCATAGCTTATTTAAACCCTCAAAAGTTAAGCTCTTATTCATATAAATTTTAGTAGGGAATACGTTCACCATTTTTTCCTATTATAAGCTCACCGTCATTTCATTGACTGGACTAGATTTGGAATATTATTCCATTCATAAATTGCTCTAATTCAGTGAGATTTTTTGGCATACGCCTTTCTACGTTTTTCTTGACAATACTCCATAAATTTTCTATTGGGTTTAAGTCAGGACTGTTAGATGGCCAGTCCATGACTTGTGGCATATTTCTGGCTTGTATGCTCTGGGTCATTATCTTGCTGAAAACGCCATTCACTACCCAACATCTCATTAATCTCAGGAATATGGTTCGACGTAAAATTGAGCATCCAAAAAAGACCAGCCGAAACAAGCATTTGCGTTATATCGCGTTTTATGCGTTGGTATAAAAAATAAAAAATAACTGAATTTCTAATCGATCACATTTTGTGAATTAAGTTCTTGATAAAGAATGCAAACTACCCTATAATGACCTTGCTTTTTTTCATTGCCGACTCTGATTCTATGTGAAAACAACTTTTAGTAAAGCGCAATCGAATAATGATAAATGCGCAACTGGTGTTTTACCTTGTGCACAAATCCTCCCTATGCGAAACTTTTTGAATTGACTTTTTACCTTTGTGCCAATGGTCAATTGTGTTTGTTCTCTCTAAACCCTAAAGTTCCTGCTTTTGGAAAAAGGGTTTACATTACCTCGAAGATCATCCTACTCAACAGCAATACGTATTATCACAGCAATATACGCGAACAAACACCCCATATTTTTACTGATAGTAGCGAGAGGCTGTACTAACTGTGAGTATATGTCTTGTAACCCCAACGAAATGGTGTTCTGAATTCATCTCATATCATGCGGATCTGTAATACTTTTTTATTCGGTAAAGTTAAATTCCCCAACATGTGTCAATGTTCTAAGATTTATGAAAGGCAGTCTCATCTGCTCTTGTTGCTGTTGCGGCTTGTCATAGTTTCTTATGGCCTCCAATATCGCCGTCCAATTCTCCTCATTTATATCCTTGAGAAGGCCATGATTGTTTGTCACTTTTGTTGCCAGAGTTCTGGCCTAGAGCATGTGACACGACAGCCGTTATCGACCATTACCCAAGTTTCCTTTGCCCGATTGTTTTTTTCCAATGTATTTTTGGCAGATCACTTGTTACACCACTAGTAATAATAAAATTAAACTCTAAACACATGACCTAAGAAATGGGTCCGAAAAATGAATTCAACTACTATACTTGCACAACCGTCAATCGCGCACGTTTTTCCCAATGGCGGCAACTTTCGGCGGATGTTCGTTTCCTTCATTCTCGCATTTTTTTTTCATATCCTTTCCCAGCTAATCCTTCTCTCCCTCCATTGCAGACGAAGTAACAGCGCTAGTCCTTGATGTCGGTACTGCCTGGACACGTGCCGGTTATGCAGGTGAAGACTGTCCGAAAGCTGTGTTTCCCACTCATTATGGATATCTTCCCGAGGAAGAGAGTGAAGATAAAGCCAGTGATAATCAGGCCGCTGATACCGATGTCAGCAATATAAAAAAACCAAAAGGAAAATATTATATTGGAGATGGAGAGATAAACCTGTGGCGGCCCAATATGGAGGTTAAAAATCCACTTAATGACGGGTTAGGTAAGGAATGACGTGAGTGAATGATGAGAAATTGAACTATAAGTGTGCGGTGTTATAGCTACGAATTAAGGAAGAAAAAATGGGACGAAATTACTAAGTGCTGTGTTTGATCATTACGATAGTTGAAGACTGGGACGCCCTAGAGCAAATCTGGGATTCTGCTCTGAAATCGCGACTTCACGTTGATCCGCGAGAACATCCATTACTAGTGACCGAGGTTGCGTGGAATACTCGAGAACATAGAGAGAAACTTATTGAACTTGCATTCGAGAAATATGAAACGCCGGCTTTCTATCTTGCTAAGAATCCGGTGCTCACTGCGTATGTAGGTCTTTTCAGTTATATTAATATTATTTATCACGTTGGTTTGCGCGCTATTTGTTAACTATCAATTTGTTCGAACGATTTAGATACGCATCTGGCCGTCCGACTGCTATGATTCTAGATTGCGGAGCTGCTGTGACTAGTGTTACCCCAGTTTATGATGGTTTCGTCCTTAAGAAAGGTGCCAATAGTTTTGCAATCGTCTCACTTGATTTATAGTTTATAAACGACCTTTTACTTATTCAACCCTTTCATAGGCATCATAAAGCAACCAATTGCTGGAGATTTTATTAATGAGCAGATTAGGCTGCAATTCGAACAACTTAATCTGAGCCCGGTTCCGCAGTATATGGTGGAGAAGAAGAATTATGTTGACCCTGATCTGCCGGCAAACGCTATTTTAAGAAATCGTCCCAATACAACTGCGAGTTTTCACAAGTACATGCTGACGGTTCGTTGAGCGGGAGGAAAGAGTGGAGCGAAATAGGAAATGGGGTATTTTGACACGACATGTAGCGATTAATTTCCCTCTTTGTTTACCCAGAAAGTAATTCATGAATACAAAGAATCGGTGTGTCAACTATACGAGTCTAACTATAACGAACAGTAAGTTGATGAAATGATCGGACCAAGTTTATATCAGTTGCTTTCGATTCACGTCATGTTAATCTAATCCTTTCACAGGATTATTTCCTCCCGTCCGATGAAAACATTCGAGTTTCCAGACGGTTATAACACTTCCTTTGGCACGATACGATTCCGAGCACCCGAAATTCTGTTCCAACCGTCATCTGAATTTATAATACCGGTATGCTAACCGCCGCTTTGTTATTTAAACTGCTCTCTTTTGACAACTGACTCGATATCTTCCTCCTTTTCTTGTATGAATTGCAACGCAAGTCCCCAGAACCTACAGTAGACACATCGGCATGCGTTGGTATTCAACACATGATATTCAACAGTCTCGTGACTTGCGACATAGACGCTCGGCCGGCGATGATGAGCAATCTCATTGTCACTGGAGGAAGTACGTTATTCCCGGGTTTCGTGGATAGGTTATATCACGAAGTGGCGCCGAAAGTACCTGGGGTAATTGATGTCTTTGAATACTCTTTGTTTGATCCGGTTTTATATGATTTTATATAATATTATCTGATACGCTGTCTACGGTATTGTACAATTTAGATGAAAGTAAGAATACATGCTCCGGGTAATATCATGGAACGAAAATGCAGTTCATGGTTGGGTGGATCTATTCTTGCTTCCCTTGGTACATTCCATCAACTATGGATATCACGCAAGGAGTATCAGGAACATGGAAAAATCATCGTAGAGAAGAAGTGTGATTAAACGGTAAATTTCAATGTACGTTTGTGGATGGTTTATGATAGAAATGTCAAATTTGTTAGAGGCGTAAGATATCTCAAATAAATACTCTGCATATTGTACCTTGACTAGATTTGGTTTATGAATGTTCATTTTATTTTACAAGTACTTTCGCAAATTATGTATCGTCAAGAACTATTAGATCAATAACAGTTTAAAATACAATAAAACAGAACCCGATCCAACTCAATGTTTATGCAAACACGAAAAGTTCTCATTCTCCTCCCACTTCATCCGCTCCAATCCTCCATGCTATCTCACTACCGCACCTCATATGTCCTCTCCCGCTGATGACTCACAACTCGATGATGAGCTATATATGAAGATCTATCTCGTTGATGTTCGATGAAAGACCTATCTCGTGTATGATCATATGATATGTCAAACTGATGTCCTTCTTCATTGTGCATTTCCAAGAATACCCTGGATACAGGACGACCGCGGCTCCTCCGAAGACCAGCTCGGAGTTGGTGGATCGTTTCATCAAGTTCGCCTTTGCCAGCAAGGGATGATGAAACACTTGCCGTGTCTGACTGACGACGACTGGACTGTTTTTATAAAAGTTGGAAGAATTAAATAAATGTATTAAAAGTATACGTAAGACGACAAGAAGATAAAAATTACCATGCGGGAGACTTGATTGTCACGTTCTTTCTCGGCTTTCCTTCGCAGTTCTTCATTGTCTTTTCGCGCTTTCTAAGTATTGCGTTAAGGTTTAATTTATAATCGTTTCATTATAGCAGACCATGTATATATACTTTTACTTACCGCCAACGAAGACGCAAAGGAGACAATTAACCCAAAGAAATCCTCTGGTTTCGTCACTGAAGGATCTTCGCCGTAATAAACTAACAATTGTTTGAGCTCCTCATCTAATTCCGTAGCTCTATCTCTTATACTTGCAACTTTGGGTTCAGCATCTTCAACGAACGCCTGTACAACAATACAAGTCAAGGCATAATTTACAATGATTCACTATTGCACGCGCAATCTCATTAAAAGGATACACTCATAACTTCTATGAACTTGTCGTTTTCAGGAGACAATCTTATCCGTCTAAGTATACGGATCTCTTCCCTAATTTGTGCAACACCAGTTGCAAGAGAATTGACAGAGGCCATGAGAGTAACTACAGACACCCTAGCAGCTACCTCTAAATGGGGAAGTTCATCCATGAACGTAATTAGGTCTCGTTGTTTAAATTCGAGAGTATTAGCCAGATAATGAAGTAAAGTGGATGTGCCTTTCGCGTTGTTTTCGATAGCTTTCGTATCACGCATTTTGAGGAGCGCGTCTAATTGAAAACCGTATGCATTACCGCGAAATGAAGTACCGTTAAGATAGTTGCCGATTGCAAGGACAATCTGTAGACAACAAATTGAAGACGAGATTAGAGCGATTGGAATTCAGTTGGAGAAAGAAGCAATCCTACTTACTTTGAGAAGTTTCTTTAGTTTCCCGGACGATTTAAGCTCATCGTGGGCATCATGCAATACAGATAGTTCCTAATAGTGACAAGATTGAATGCATTAGTATACGGATTTATCGACTATCCAAAA